AAAAAAATGTAATGATCTAAGAAAATGCTCAGGAGACCACGGTAAGTGGAAAAAACAGCATACAAAACTATACACACAATATATCCCAACTTTTAAAGTTCATGTATATAATAAAAACTGAGAGAAATAGATGGAAATTTACAATGTTAACTATGGATGCCTGTATATCATTGTGTTTTCTAATTTTTTTTTTTAAAGATTGGCACCTGAGCTAACAACTGTTGCCAATTTTCTTTTTTTTTTCTGCTTTTCTCCCCAAATCCCCCCAGTACATAGTTGTATCTTTTAGTTGTGGGTCCTTCTAGTTGTGGCATGTGGGACACTGCCTCAACGTGGCCTGATGAGCAGTGCCATGTCTGCGCCCAGGATCCGAACCCGTGAAACCCTGGGCCACCAAAGTGTAGCACGTGAACTCAACCACTTGGCCACCGGGCCGGCCCCTCTAAATTTTCTACAAAGAGCATTATTACTTTTACAATCAGAAAAACTTACAAAAAAGAGAAGCAGAAGAATGGTCAAATCTCACCTTTCAGAATTCAACTGACTAGTAACCCCGTCTATCTAGAAGACGACCCAGTATCAAAAATTAAGCAAGAAAGACTCTGAGCTGCTAAAATACATGTCACAAAATCTATGCCTAAAGGTTTGGGTACCAGTTCATCAAGAGAGCCCTTCATACCTTCTTTTACACATATCTTAATTCCAACAAACCTGATTATCTGATGTTCCAGAAGTATTGAGGATATAGCTACACTGAGAACAGTGCAAAGTGACAGGCCTGGCCTAACAGTAGGAGAAAGGCGACAAAATAAAAAGACAAAACACAGGGACATTCACAAAGCAGCCCAGGGGCAATTATGGCAGAAACATCCCTAAACAACTTAATATATTTCCATATAGTATGACAATAGATACTCACTACAACAACTCTGAGTTAGAAGTGTTCAGAGGAGGGCCCTCTGAACACAGACTGGATAACTGAGGAAGTGAGAAAAGTTCCTAATACATTTTAGAAAAAGACTGATCACCAATGTTTACAATAAAAAGTTAGAGTGCTTAAAGAGAATATCCTCAGCTATCCAGAGCAACTCACTCCTGTGAGTTCCACAGAATTGGAGTTTTACTATATTGAAGAGGATTTTATGGTTGGCTGCATTGACCAATACAAATCTGGAGAACAATCTGGAAGGAAATGATTGACGACTGCTTCTTTCCAAGGAAGTTTAAAAATAAGTAACCATAGGCCTATCAGAACCAGCATTAACGCAGCAATTGCTACTAACTGCAGCCAGGCTGGGGATGTTATTTTGGCTTAAATCCATAGTCTACGGAGGATTTAGGTACCTTACAGGTAGCTGGAACCTACTAGCTATTAGGGTAGTCAGTAGGCCCCATTCCATCACACAGGACACACCGTGAACCAAAGAAACATTTATTCTATCTCCTTTATACTTGCCTCTTGTGCTTCTGACTTCAAAAGCGGGGCCAGAAAGACAAGGAAGAAACTGATTATGTTTGTATCTGTGGAGCAAAGATTATGCAAACTGCCAGCACTCCACTCTTTCTGTTTTCAGCATGGTTATCACAAAACAAAAACAAAAAGATAACTTCTACCTCTGAAGCCTGATTATTTGAAAACAGACCTGAATATTTCCTCCTCTTTCAATAAGGCAGTAGATGCCCTTCATTTTACTTATCTATAAGATACTTACTTGCTGATCAAGGAGACTAGTTACTATTTCTGTAGGAGAGCTTGACAGTCTATTAGAGGAAACTGTTTCCTGAGTTACTCTAGAAGCCTCTCGCTGCTTTAACATTTGCCAAAAATCCAAGAAAGCACCAAAAAAAAAAAAAAAAAAGTCCCCACCTTCCACACACCCCCAGAGCTAACAAGAGAAAAACATAATCACAACCCTGGTTAATGGCCCTTTAGTATATGACCTCCTCAAGCTTCCGCAGTATTTGTCTTTTGTTTGTTCCTTTTTCTTTTAAATAATCTTACTGGTTGCCTTTTCCTGATTACAAAAGTATCACATGGTCATTGTGACCATTTAAACAACACAAAGATGTATGAAATAAAATTAATAACTTCTCCCTCCCCCACCCTCACACTCCCCTCCCAAGGAAACCAATGTTAACAGCTTGCTGTATATTCTGTCTTGCTCCTTCCCAGGCTTACAAAAACATATACAATATATGAGGGGGAGGGGTGTTTTGTTTTGAAACAAAAATGAGGTATTATATAGACTATTGTGCCCCTTGCTTTTTAGTCTTAAAAATGTTATGGACACTTTCTAAGCCAATAGATATAATCCATCACATCCTTCTTAATGGCTGCAAAGTATTCCATAAGATGGATAATTCATTCCAGCTATCGCCCCACCTTTCCCAACTCATGCACATTTAGGAGGGAGCCTTGTACACATACTTCATGTCCTTTAATTTCAGTAACACAGATTCCTAGAAATGGGGTTTCTGGGTCAAATACACCATGTTCAAATGTTTAAAAATTTATCCCTAAACAAAATTAATTTTAGACCTTCAGAATTTCTGTTCCTTTCTTCATTATGCAAAATTTTGGCATAAACCTTTCACAATGCTTTGCATATTTTATTTTTAAAAGCACACACATTATATCAAAAAAATGCCCCTGTCATTTATGCTCGTAGTTATAAATAAAAAACATGCTTAAGTTACGGCTGTGACGGCCAGTGTTAAATCATTGTGCAAATGCTTATGTCTTAGTTTATGAAAGTAGTAATTCACTGTGGGAACTGCCCCCCCCCACAGCCATGTGGCGGCTCTCTCACCCTGTGACTCCCTCCGCTGCGTGGATGTAGAGGTCAGGACCCACAGATGTTCTAATTGTCAACAGTTAACCTTAAAAGGTGTATGTGGGGGAAGACAAGTAAACAGCAACAGACAATAAATGGATAGCCATTATGGGTTTCTAATATCCACAAATTATTTGGACTACAATTAATAATTCTACTGGTCTATGCCAGAGACTGTATTCCATAAAAAACAAAACCTATAACCCATAGGTTGCTAGGATTACATAAACCTTTCAAAAACATATTCTTCAAACATTTTTCAATAGAATTATTGATTGAACCCCAGTTTTACATTTTTTCCTCTACTTCAGATTCATTCGAACTGCAAACTTTAAAAAAAGGCCTTAAAGAAATACATTAACCAACAAAGCTCCTTAAAGTTTAATCTCAGACTCCTCCATATATTTTAAAGACCCAAGCACCTGCAGAGATTGTTAAGACACAGCAAGTTTGATACAGAACTATGTGACACGCAATTAATCTCCATTCATACCCTGCTCCACTTGTCAACAAACAAAGGTTGTGCTTTAGAAGGAGATCTGAAGACTTCAATTAAAAACAGTCAGCTAACAAGAAAATAATCTAAGTTAAAGGAAGGTGGCAGGTGCAGAAATGAGTTGTTTACCAAAGTGTCAGTTTTGAACAATAAAGAACTGACATCAAAAATGTTGAAGGAGTGGATTTCATTGCAAGCCTCTGAAAATAAAAAGGAATTTTCTACCAGGGCTGCACACAACACGGTATATAGTTTAACAAGCTTGTAAAACAGGTTACCTCTCATCAAATGACAGATACCAATAAAAAGAATCACTTTATATCTTTAAATGCAAGGGCAGAATTAAACTTTTTTTCCAGTTCCTTCTCTCCTGGAAACCAGACACTTATAGCCTCTCTTTACACATCAAATATTGAACTGACAGCAGAAGGAAAAGCTGGATTGCCTCTTCCTAGACACCCAGAAGATGCTCCTTTGCCCTGCGAATACTTTCCTCCTCTCAAAGTTTAGATTTAGTGAGATCATAAGTAAAATGGATTCTGGAAACTTCATCTCAAAAGAAATACCTAGTTGACAGCTTTTACATAGAAGCAATCCAGAATGGAAGCAGTGCTACAAACAGACCAAAAGGACTTGCCAAATAGCTGATTAGGAGGCATTTATACCAAGATAACAAGGTAATGGAGATATAAAACCAATTAAATTGAGAGAAATTGGAAAAAAAAAATACTGCTTGCCAAAAGTATGACCTGCCCAAAGCAGGCCATCTGTTAAATATGTGTCAAAAATGTCACTTAGACGCCAAAAGGCTTAATTCTGAGCAGCTTCCTCCTGGGACCCTTATGCAAGCACAGACTCCAGGCCTCTGTCCTTCCCGGAAGGTCACTTACAGGAAAGCCAGTTACCTTCTCCAGAAAAAGTGTGAACCGAGCAGATGATAGTGCCCATTAGCACGAAGTCTCTTTGGAGTGTTAGAAGTATGTGTTGAGTGTTCGTGAGCACGGCCTTAACTCTTAAAAGGATTGCTTAGGCACTGTAATTTGAAGGGGAACACATCACAGTGGGGGCACTTCTAGAAAATGAAGAAACCTAATACTGAGCATCAGCCTGCCCTGGGTGGATAGCAAGACCCTAGAAGTCTTCCGGCTGGTGAAGGGAGGCCTGGGGTTTCCGCGCTGACGACAACTCACGCTAACCCCAGGCCCCGGCCCCCAGGATGCCACGAGCCCCTCGCAGCCCCTTGAGAAGCAGGAAGGTGAGGGTCTCCAGTGAGAGGTGGCGGGGTGAGGGTCGGGGAGGGAGGAGGGCGAAAACCTACAGACCTAGGGGGAGTCCGGAGGAAAAAGGGACAGGTGGACCAGCGAGGTGGCAGAGGGGACCATGAACCGGGCCTGAAGTTGCTTAGAAGCCCGGGAGGTTAACTGGAGACGCCTTCAGGGAAAAGAAAACGTGGAACTGCGGGGAGTGAAAGGGACCCCGAGGCGGGAGGATGAAAGCCTGGCTTTGCAGGGTAGAAGACTCTAGAAGCCTTGAGGCGCTAGAAGTTGGTGAGAGATGGAGCTGAAAAGAGAGCTGGCCTCGGGAGCCCCTGGCGTCTCCCCCGTCCTCCTTCGGCTCTGCACTTGGCGACCGACCGCAGGGTCGGGGGGCCGGGCCGGGCCGGGCGTTACCTTGCAGGAGCCAACAGATCTCCTCCGGGAGGGCGGCGGCGGCCTGCATGTGGCGGGGCGCTGGGGCGGCCGGAGTGGGAGGCGGGAGCGGGCCGTGAAGGCCTGGGGCCGAGGCGGGCGGGCGGCGAGGCGGCGGCTTGCACGGCGGAGGCACCTGTACCTCTGTCGCCGCCGCCGCCGGGCCGAGCCGCAGGGCGGGGCGCGCTCAGGAAGTGGCGCGCGCGGCGGGCGGGGGGCGCCCGGGGCGTGGGGGGCACCTGTGCACGCACCACTCGCGCCGGTGCCCAGAGGGACAAAGATTGGGGAGAGGGGGCGCCGCATCACGCAGGGCCAATGCTGTGCCCCTCCAGAAGCCCCCACCAAAACAAAAGACTTCACGCGACTCAAAGGAACCTCGTCTCTTGGAGACTTCGCATCCTAAGCACTGGACAGTCGGCCTCAAGGGGCGGGTTTAAAAGACACCGTGGTGCCCGAAGCGGGGCGCGAGGAGGTAGAATCCGACGACGAGGTTAGTCCCTGCCCAGCACTGCAGCGCTCGATCCCCGATCCATTCGCACGTCCACGTCCGGAAAACCAGGGCAGGACGTTCGCGCTCTCAGGCAAACCACGAGGTTTAAAGGGAATGACCACAAATCCCAGCAAATAATATAAACCCACCAACACTGGGGAGAATCAGAGCGGCATGGCTGCAATGGACACAGGAAGCCCAAGTGTCCCTTCCTCCCTAAGGCTGAGGGGATGGGAGGAAAGGAAGGGGTCACCTGGGGAGAAAGCCGAGGAGAGGGCAACGGAGCCCTTTCCCTCTAAGAGCCGGCAAAGGGAGCAAAGTGAAGGACAAGATCGCAGAAAGGATCTCTCCCTCATTCCAAGTACAGTAGGGGTCAACGTCCTGCTTGTGATACGGAGCCGCCATATTGCAGGATGTTACCGTTGGGGGAAACTGGGTAAAGGTAGACTAGATCGCTCCGTGTTATTTCTCATAACTTCCGTGAGTCTACAGTGATCTCAAAATAAAGAGTTTACTTTTTAAAAAAATACAATGGGCCAAGTGCTGTGAAGACGGTATGAGGTGCCATTGACGGTGAAAGGAGGGAGATGAATATAAGAAAAGGAGGGAGGGGCCGGTGTAGTGACTTTAATGGTGCGTGCGGCATTTGAGATGGGCTCTGAACGCCAGACTTTCAAGGGGCAGGAGAGCTTTCCAGGTGGAAGGACCAGAGTAAACAAAGATGGAAAAGCCTCTCCCACTTGAGGAACAGCTCAGAACCCTCTTTTCCTGGATGGTGTAAGGAAATTACGATTGTCAAGAAAAATTGAAGCTCTTTTGTGAAGGGACTTGAAATTCAGAATGAAGATTTTGAACTCAATTGAGTGGGCACTGGGGAGCCATTGACAAATCCTGAACTGGGGAGTGACCTAACCTGAGCCCCTGTATAGTCTGTGATCTTGCACATCTCACTTCACCTCTACCGTTTTCCTTCTTTGTAAAAAAAATGGAGCTTCTGTTATCAGACTCTGCCTGCAGAATATGTGGGAAGGATTGGGAGTGGTAAGACAGAGGACACCGGGAAGATGGGGGAAGTGGTTTCACAGCAGCCACGGGGGAAATAACGATGGATAAGGGGACAGGAGCAGCAAAGAGAAACTGTCCAGAAAGACTCCTGGTAACAGTGCCTGTCTCCCGGCATAGTTTCCCCTTCAGAGATACAGTCTCAGGGTTGAGGGCTCGATCCTTTAAGGGGTATAGTGGCTTTGAGCCATCCTTACAAGTCTGCACCCTGTGATCTGAAGAGGAATGGTGCCTTGGTTTCAGGCTCCCGTGACCCACCCACGAGCTGCAGCAAATTGGGGTGGGAGTGAGGGGACAGAAGTTGGCAGGAGTTTCTGGGGACTCTGGCTCCCGCTACGACTCCTTCTTGCCCTAGGAAAGTTGACAGTGGCCAGGCTGCCTCCTCCAGGTTCCGGAGTAATACTGGTGCCCCACTGGGGGCATTTTTTTTACCAGACACACTGCTGCTTCTATAAAATTGTAGCTGCTCTGGAGTCCTTTTTGAATACTTAGGGCATGGGTTAAAAAAAAATGAGAGGATACATGGGAACTCTCTGTACCATCATCACAACTTTTCTGTAAATCTAATTGTTCTGAAAAGCAGCAGGGGGGCCAGGTGTCCTATATGTAACCCCAGCACTTATGCCTTGCGTTCCCTCTCAGCAGTGGAAGGAATTTGATAATCTTCTTCAAGGATATTTGTGAGACGCTAACATAGGCTACAAGCTAATGAGTTGTTTGATAAAGACCAATAAACCCAGGTAATTGCACATCCTCTCAGGCCTCACTGCCTGTCATAGCTTACGTATTGTGAGGGAAGCAGCGGAAGCTGGCGGCATAGGTATTCTACATCCATTGTGGGGTTTAGAGAGGCGGAGGTAGAAGGAGGTACAGAGTTGGGTAGTGTGCAGTGGGTGACTGGCAGATTTCAATACGGCATTGTCATGTTGCATCAAGCTTCCTCGTTGCAGATAGAAACCTGCCTCCGCACATGAGCGCAGCCCCTCCTTAATCATCTGAGGACCCTGGTTCAGCAGTCAACCTCACTCCTAATGACATTCTGTTAAATGGACAAATTCCTTTGAAGCCTTGTCCTTCTTTGAAATCCAATTTCGCAGGAAGCCAAATCTGATTGGGGGTAGCCATGGAAACCACACGGAGGAGTCTTAGAGGAGGTGGAGAGAGGCAAGGCAAAATGTGATAGTCGAGAGTCCTTTACTGCTCTGTCGGAAATATCAAAGGGATCTGGAGAGGTTGGCAGCAGACGAGTCCCTGCTCAGGTCCTGTTCTGTGTGGCTGGGTACCATGTGGCTGTCACGGAAGTAAGCAGCCAGCTGTCTCTGCACACAGGCAGGGGGATGGAGCAGAATACACAAATCCCAGGTCTGTCTGCCTCTCTCTTCTTCCCCTCCCCTTCCCCCCAATTCCAGCAAGATCTTAGCATCCCCTTCTTAGTGGCCTGCCCCTTAAAGACAAACAACAAAAGAATGACAAGGTTAAAATACAAGGCCCTCACAGATAAGAGGTCCTTTGGAGCAGAGGCCATGAAATTAATCTGAAATTCCTTGTAATTAGATAAGATAAGGGTATCAAAAGAGATGCAGAGCAGTGAGGAATGGAGTCCTGCAGCACAACATGCGGAAAATATACCGCCTGGTCCACCGGGGCCCCTCGCACGCTGTCAGCAGACAGGAGACACAGAAACAGGGCCCATGCCAGCCTCTGGGCCACTTGGAGATGTCACCTCATGTTCTCGTGCCAGGTGGGCACTCACTAAATATGCATCCATGGGGTGTCCAGAGGGCTCCATCAGGAAGAAACAAAAGCATCTGGCACCCAGAATGTCATGGGGTGGGAACAACTGCAGGCAAAGCAGGAGCCGGCTGGCACTGCTGCACTGTGGATGCAGTCGGTCTGGAGAGGAGGCTGTGGAGGGCAGGCTCTGGGGCTTTATTGCGAGGTGGTTATTGATCTCTGGATGCTAGGTCACGACATGCGGCAGAGCTGACGTCTGCCCTGTGGATGTGCGGCCGCTGCATCTCAGCCCCTCGGTCCCAACCCCATCAACCGGGTTTATTGACTCTTTTATTGACGATGCTGGGGCCTAATGAGGACAAGAGCTGCACACTTCATTAAGGGCTGTGGAAGGAGAGATGAGGCGTCCCGCCGATGCCAAGAACCAGGCTTACTGCGTGCTTTGCAAGGCTCTGGCAAGCAAGCCTCATGCCACCCCTGAGACAGAGGAGACAGATAAAGTTTCTCACTTGGGTGCATCACTTCAGTGGCCTTAAATGCAGGGTTTCCACAGCTTGCCAGAAGCCTTGCTCTTACTAATTAGCTAAAACTTAGGAAGGTCCCATTATACACACTCTCACACAAATGCACTTCGATGGTCTCCCCTTTCAGCTCACATGCCTAGATTCTCTGCGCTGATACATACAACCAAATGAGCAGGTTCTCATATCACATCAGGGAACATTCCCAAAGCAGGTTCTCAGTGAGGCACAGGCTCAGAACAGAACGAGGGATTATTAAAACTCTAAAGAATCTTCAAGGTGATCCAATTCAAGATGAGAAACAGACCCAGTGCTCTGCCCAGGGCCAGCCTGCTCACCAGGGGCTGCACGGCATTGGATTCCTTGTTTTGCAGCGCTGGGCCAAAGCTCTCATAGACCTGAACACCTGAGATGGGTCACTTCAGTCCAGGGATCACTGAGCAGCTCTGTGAAGCAGTCATTTTTGGTCCCCTCCATTGTAATAGTAAATTTCTTTCTTTGTTCTTTATCTCATCTTCGTATCACTCCCCTTATTATTTTTTCCCTATATTCTCCAATCACTTTTTTGTGTGTGCCTTCTTTGCCTATCCCTTAGGCCACGTTAGACATCCCCCATGGACGCTGCTGAGCCCAGCAGAGACCCTAAAGACCGGAGAGGTTGCTGACTCTGACATTCTCTGTCTTTGATTGGTTCTCTTGGGAAGTGGAAGCGGAGGTGGGGGTGGGGGGCACGCAGAGTGTGTCAGCCGCAGCCAGATGAGGCTGTGCACTCTCCTTGAGATGTGCAGGCAGTCTGCGGGGCTCATCTGCAGGGGAGGCAGGTGGGGCCGAGGCCCATTTTAAAGGCTAGATGTTTGCAGACATGATAACTTTGGAAAACTATATAGAAGGAGTAACTATTTCTTTTGGGGGGGATTAAGAAGATTAGAGGTAAATAATAGAAGGATATCAATTTTCTAAGGTTGAACTGACTGTCTTTGGCTTCTCTGATCTGTTATTTCAAAAGGCAAAGTTTTAAGCTCCCTACGCCCCTTCCTTCCTTTCTGCCTTTTCTTCTCCCTCACTTTACTACAGGTCTTAGAATTCAGGGTTGGGGCAGGGTGATTCAAGGTGAGAGAAGGGGCAGTTATTTAGAATCTGATAGAAAGTTCTGGTCTGCACAACACAGGTGCTCACATGCTTGCGAGAATACTCACACTCAGAGGAACTGATGTATCTGACCACAATCACCAGTCATAATCACAATCACCGTGTTCACAAATACCAACAGAGGCACTACCTGGAGTCAGACATAACACCAGCAATGGCTGATTATTTCAGTGC